ACACACACACACACACACACACACACACACACACACACACACACACAAACAAACACACACTTTCACGCATATAGACATATTACATGCACCCACACATACACAAAAAACACACACACAGAGTCAACAGGGTGCCCTCGGCAGGGTTCGCTTAGTGTTGAGTGCCAGAGACAGACACGTGGACTCTATTCATCACAAATAAACAATGGCCCATATGGGCAGGCCTATAGTACTCCATTAGCCTAGCCGCAAACACACTGACACACACTGACACACACACACACACACACAAGATCCCTACCCACATTAAAATATGTGCATGCTAACAAAAAAGTTCCTATGAAGCAAGGAATCAGAAAAGCGATACTTGTTTTTTGATTTCATGGCCGTTATCATTTCTTACTCTCCATTATTATATTTTCATGAAATAGTCAAATATACTCTCTTTTAGAGTTTTCATTCTCAAACATTGATCTCATGTTAAGAGTTTTGTTTGTTCATTTGTTTTGACAAGTAATTTCAGTGTTCTACACCGTTACTCTGTTTCCTTTTCTACTCCTTCACTAGCTCCTCTTTTCTCTTCCAACCAAGCAGGCTATATGGTCATCCTTCATTTGAGTTGCCCTCCCATGGAGTGCATATGCTCCCCACCTCCTCTTCCACTCCATCTCCTTTTGTTATTTATTTCACATCTCCTCTGCTCTCTTTGTCATCTTCTTGCTTACTTTTCATCGACTTTTTTCCCTCTCCCTCTGCTTTTTCCTCTAGCCTCTTGCTCCCCCTCGCTCCTTCTCTTCCTCCTGTTCCCCCTCCTTTCCTTTATGTGCCCCCTTCCCATCCACTCATCAGTCATTAGCATTAGCTTCCCCATTGAGAACATATGGTATGATGGATCGCAGGGCTAGCGGCACTAGCAAGGCTAAGGGCCATTTGCCGGGTGCACTGCGCTGTCGGGGAGCCCTGGGGCCGGCTATGCAACCTCGACCCCACACGTCTGTTTCAAGACACTCACACTAACACACACACAGCAACACCTATTATAGGATATGCTACTTAACCTTGGCACTACTCACTCTCATCGCTGCCTCTCACCATGTCCAGGGTTTTGTATTTTTAATGATACAGTGAGAGACAGATTTGTGAAAGAAAGAAAGAATGAAAGAAAATGCAAGCGAGAGAAGACTACAGATTGCATTAAATTATATTTAAAATCAATTACAAATAAGTTAAATCTTAAAGATTGATACAAAATATAGTGAAAAAAAAGGAAAATATTGACTTCAAGTATAATTTGATACACACAATAGAAAACATTGTTATACAAATTTACATCGTAAGAAATAATGCAAAATTAAACATATATGATGATGAAAGAAAGACAGAATAAAATAATTAAAAAGTTGTATGATATGCATCAAATACAGGAAACGGAGAAAGGGAATGAAAGTCAATGAGAGAAAAAAAAAAACCCCGGAGAGAACAGAAGAGTGGTGAAGAGCTAGATGGAGCAGATTAAAGGAGGAGTGAAGGGTATCCCATTGTGCCCAGCTGATAGACTAGGTTAGGCTGATGTGATTATGGGGTCCCTGAAGTGCGATCTATCACACATTACCGTCCACACTGTCAACAACCATACACACACACTGCAGGGGAACAGCAATGCCAGGAGACAGCCGTCTGGCAACAGATACACGTACCGGCTTGCGTGCACATGTGCACATCTAGATATACACACAAGCATCCACGTGCAACAACATTCATACGCAACCACACACACTCACATAGCATGTGTGTATATACATACAGAATTGTATCCACATCTACACTCCTGCAAAAATATGCACCACACAGTTGTATAAGCACTCACACATACACACACAAACATGTGCACAGGACTATTTAACAGGAAACCAGTGTGAATCAAGTGAAATAGAGTCAGGGTCAGAAACGTCAGCTCACACAACCTGTACCAAAGGAGAAACAAAGCCAAAGCTGAGCCCGTGGACTGTGCTCTTCTAAATGTTTCTTTAGGTTGAGCTAAGTTGATTCCTCATTCCTGTCTACTTTACCCCAACTACAGTAATGTGTTTTTCATTTATCGTACTCTGTCATCCACATCTGACTTCAGTTTAAATCAGTACAATCTACACCTGCCACGTAATGGCTTGCACCTCACTTGCACTTTGGCGTATAAGTGCACCGTCAATATATTTTCCTCCATTTTACGAGTCGAACTACATTCATTTTGTATAAATTCCCGCCGCCTTGTGTCTTTATTCAAACTTACCTCGTTAAGTAGCAGGAATATACCCTCTTAAATGGCAGACCTTGCTTCTACTCTGCCTAGTTACAGTCTTTGGGGTATTATTGAGATGGTCTCTATAATCCTTTCAACAACATTCTCTAGTTGTTATACAATAACACAAAGTCTCCATGCTAAATCCTTCCCTTCCAAATCTGCCATTTTGTTTGAACAGCTTTCATTTCACTTTCAAGTAGATTAAATACTGTTTGTTTTTGGACAGGAGTGCCTCAGTTGTCTTGCAGCTTTTCCTCCTGTGTTGCAGGTTCGAGACCAACTTTTAAGCTCTTCATTTGCTCCTCGTTTCTTCTCTCTCTGAGTTTGTATGTAAGATGTTTAGCTAGGATTTAGGTGAGATTAGATGGTGTTTAGAGGAACGTGTGTGGTGTCTCTGGCCTCCCGTTGCTCCCTGACTCTCCCAAATTCCCCCGCCTCGCTGTGTGCCACTCCACTAATCATTTCCCCTTCACATGTTTTTTTTTTTTATAGTGTACAGTTCTTTAACTCTTCCATCTGCCCTTCAACCCCACCTTCTCCATTTCTCACTGGGGCTGCTACCATGAATGCCCTCCCCACCTCACTTTTTCGTAAAGCAAGTGAATCTTAAAAAATGTATGCATTTCTTTAACTCCTTCACCCATTCCCTCCTTCTGTCCCAGCCCAGCAGGCCCATCCAAACGTTCAAGGACAAATCTGAATATCCCTTTTCACCGTTTAAGTGTTAAAAGCCTGGCGGTGCCAGGGTGTTATCTTAACGCGCCTTGCCGTGCCATCATCAGAGCGCGTGATGAAAATGGCTGTGATGATGCTAAAAGAAAAAAAGAGGAGGGGGAGAAAAAGTAATAATCAAATATGTTTTTCAAGGGCACAGTGACCATTTGCTGGAGGGAAATTATCCCAGTAGTTAAGCTAGCTCACTCAGAGCCTGGCGGAGTTGTGAGAGTGGATGCGTTTGTGTGTATAAGTGTGTGCAAGTGTGCATGGTTTATTACTTCAACTTGGTGCATGCATGCCTCACTTTCTGTATGTGGCTGTCTGAATCTGTATATGTATGGTATGTCAATGTTTCTTTATGCAGAGAGACACACCCTTTACATGTTCTTTTTTTATCTCTGCCAAAAAGATTCTCATCAGTGTGTGTGTGTGTGTGTGTGTGTGTGTGTGTGTGTGTGTGTGTGTG